TATTTTTCAGGATCTGGTGTCGAAACGGACGATTGGCTGGGCGTGAAGTGGGCGGTTTATACCTGTTGGATGCTCCTTTGTCACCGCAAGCACATTCAGCTTCATTTTCTAATATTGTTTCATCTAATAAAGCCCAGCTTATGCGTTGGCACATGCGTTTAGGACATATTTCTTTTGGTTATTTGAAACATTTATTTCCTTCCTTATTTTGTAACGTGGCAGTGTCATATTTATCTTGTGAAACATGTCATATGGCTAAACATGTTCGTTCCAATTATCCTGCTAGTAGTAATAAATCTGCTTTAACACCTTTTGATCTTGTTCATTCAGATGTGTGGGGTCCTTGCCCAGTTACTTCTAGTCTTGGATTTCGATATTTCGTGTTGTTCATTGATGATCATAGTCGTGTTACTTGGGTTTATCTTATGAAAACCAAAAATGAGGTATACACCATTTTTAAAAATTTTATGACAATGGTTCAGACTCAATTTGGTCGTACCATTAAAAAATTCCGATCTGACCAGGGTACAGAGTACACTTATGGGGAGGTACAACGGTTATGTATAAAATTTGGGATTGCGCATCAGCTGGCCAATGTTACAACTCCTCAACAGAATGGTCGTTCTGAGAGAAAGAATCGCCACATCCTTGACTTAGCCAGAGCAATCTGCATTGGCATGAATGTTCCCCAGTCATTTTGGGGAGATGCAGTTCTTACCGCTGTTTACATCATTAATATGACTCCTTCTAGGATTCTTAACTTTACAGCCCAATTCATCTCTATTTTTGATTCCTCTACGAGTCTTCGGGTGTGTGTGCTTTGTTCAGCAGTTGGGGCAAACTCGTACAAAGCTTGACCTTAAGGCTTTGAAGTGTGTCTTTTTGGGCTATTCTCACTCTAAAAAAGGTTATAGGTGTTACCATCCTCCCAGTCGTCGGCGGTTTATATCCATGGATGTTTCTTTCTTTGAGCATACACCATACTATAGTGGTTCAGTTGGTTCTCAGAGTGAATGGTTCCCATTGAATATAATGGATGATCACCTTCTTCCATCTTCAACTCCTCTACCATTACCTGTTTCTTCTTCTATAATTCCTCCTCGTGATACCCCTCCAGCAGGGGGAATTGTTCCTTTTTCACAGGTTTATAATCGGAGACAAAAGGTACAAGCTTCTACTCCCACGATCGACTGCCCTGTTCCTTCGGCACCAGCTCCGCCTTCTCAAGCTATTGTTTCGCTTGATGATCGCCCCATTGCTCTTCGAAAGGATAAACGTTCTTGTACTTACCCTATTTTTAATTTTGTTTCTGATTATGCTCTCTCACCCTCTTATCGGAGTTTTCTTGTTTCTGTTGCCTCGGTTCCTGTTCCTTCCAGTGTTGCAGATGCGTTAGCACAACCTCAATGGCGTGATGCCATGACAGAAGAACTACAAGCACTTGAGAAAAATCAAATTTGGGACATGGTTCCGCTTCCTATTGGATGAAAGGCTGTGGGTTGTCGTTGGGTGTTTACAGTCAAGCATAATCCAGATGGATCAGTTGCTCGTTACAAGGCCCGATTGGTTGCCAAGGGTTATGGTTAGACTTATGGCATAGATTATCAAGAGACTTTTGCCCCTGTTGCCAAGATGAATACCATCCGTGTATTATTTTCCGTTGCTGCAATTCGATCTTGGCCTCTATTTCAGTTAGATGTCAAGAATGCCTTTCTTAATGGTGATTTGCAGGAGGAGGTGTATATGGTTCCTCCTCTGGGCTTTCGTTCTCCTGCTCATTCTGGTATGGTATGTCGTCTTCGTCGTTCTCTATATGGCCTCAAGCAGTCTCCTCGAGCTTGGTTTGATCGCTTTGGCACTGCTATGCTCAAGTTTGGTTTCCATCAAAGTGCAGCTGATCATACCTTGTTTTTAGGTCATTCAGGCGGTGACAGTTGCTCTCATTGTGTATGTCGATGATATTATTCTTACCGACGATGATACTACCGGAATTAATGAGGTTAAGAGCTATCTTGGCCGTCAGTTTGAGATTAAGGATCTTGGTCCCCTACGATACTTCTTGGGCATTGAGGTGGCTCGCTCCAAGACTGGCATTTTCATCTCTCAACGCAAGTATGTTCTTGACTTGCTTTCTGCTTCTGGTCAGCTTGGCGCTCGTCCTGCTGATACTCCGATTGAGCAGAATCATCGGTTGGCTGATTCTGAGGGGGAGTTGTTGTCAGATATTGGTCAGTATCAACGACTTGTGGGGAAGCTCATCTATTGTGGGGAAGCTCATCTATTTATCCATGACTCGACCTGACATTGCTTATGCCGTGAGTGTCGTGAGTCAATTCATGCACTCTCCTCGTGCCCCACACCTTGATGCAGCTATTCGGATTCTTCGCTACTTAAAAGGGTGTCCAGGCCGTGGTATTTTGTTTGCTAATCATGGTCACTTACGTGTTGAGGCTTGGACAGATGCTGATTATGCAGGATCAATTTCAGATAGGAGGTTTCATTCAGGTTATTGTACCACTATTGGTGGTAACTTGGTTACTTGGCGCAGTAAGAAGCAGGATGTTGTCTCTCGATCTAGTGCAGAGGCAGAGTATGGGGCTATGGCTCTTGGGTAGGTGAGTTGCTTTGGCTGAAAACCTTGATGACAGACTTGTGCCTTCCAGTGTTGCTTCCATTCTCACTCTACTGCGACAACAAGTCTGCCATTAGCATAGCAGCAAATCCCGTTCAGCATGACAGGACTAAGCATATAGAGGTGGACTGTCACTTCATTCGAGAGAAGATCATCTCTGGTCAAATTTGCACTCCATTTGTCACAAGCTCTCAGCAGCTTGCAGACATTCTTACAAAGGGCATCAGCAAGATTGTGTTTGAGAATGCATTGTCCAAGTTGGGCGTTTCAGAAATCCACGCACCAACTTGAGGGGGAGTGTTAGCATTTATGATACCACGATTTATGGTATAACTTACCATAATATCCGAGATATGATAGGCCCAAATCATGGGATGTGATTTACCATATTATCTGTGAGATATGATAGTCACTAATCATGTATTTGACTTTATTTACGCATATGTCTAGGCATAGAATATGCAATGATTTGATTTTGTTTCCTTTCTTGTAATATGAGCATGTGCTCATTTTATCTATAAATACTGGAGCTGTGAATGGGTAATTCATCTCATTTCAAGCTTTTACGCAATTCTCTCTTTTCTCTTCTTTTTATATTTCTACTGAGAGACTGAAAGCGCATTCGACTGAGAGGTGGGAAGAAGCTTCTGTGATTACTAACAATCAAAGACCATGAGGGAACTAGTGGAGATGGCTCATCCTTAGATGGTGCAACTGCTCAAGTGTAAAAATCCTTACTCTATGAACACTGCTGTTGCTGTCCATGAATTGCCTTATTCACCAGTTTAGGACACTGAGCCTTCCGATGATCCTTTTGTTGACAAAACTGTAATTGTCATTACCAACTCTACAAACTCAACGCAAAGAGACTAAGTTGTATCCAGTAATGTTTATGGCGCGCCTAGGCTTGAGGCGTAAGTCTAGCGCCTGTTGTCATCCCAGGCTCACTGATGTTTACTAGGCGCGCGCCTCGGTTGTGCCTTCTCCTATTTGTCAGGTTGTGCCTAGGTTCTCCTCACTGTTTTTATTTATTTTTTAAAAATAATTATTCTATTTCTTAGGCCAAAAAGGGTACTTTTGGAAACTTAATAAACTAATAAGAAAGCCTAAGCTTATGAGAGAAGGAACTTTTGTTCAGAAGAATAAACAAATAAGAAAGCGCAAGAGTCAAAGATTTATTTCTTTTTGTGCTTTGTTTTTCCATTCAAAAAAACAAATTATCGTTTTGCCTTTCAAGAAAACAAATTTGTGCTCAGTTTTATGGTTCTTGAATACTTATACGGTTGATGGATTACCTTTTTATATTTGATATTAATTTTTAGAAAATTGATACGACTTATAAGATATGAATGCTCTTATGGTAGTTTAAAATTTCAATTGGGCGCCTCACTTCACTCAGGCGCGCGCCTCGCTGTGTGCCTCGTGCCTAGGCTCCAAAGGACCTCTAGCGCCTTGGTGCGCCTTGAGCCTTTAATAACACTGGTTGTATCTGAATGGTTGCAAGGAATTCACTCCTTTTAGCTAGGCCATTCAGGTCTTCATTAATTGATCTCCAGATACAATGCACTCCCATCCCAACTCTAATGTCATGCATTAAATTCCTATTTAGCCAGTAACTCAGACTTACGATCAAAACAACTAATGACCACAGAAGAATCTCTCTCAGCCAAGATGCGTGAAAGCCCCTATCAAACTGCCTTTCTTGACCTTCTAGAAGAATGGGACTGTAGACTTTGACAGCAAATCCAAAGCAAACCAGTGTAGAAAAAGGAAACTGATCTTATCACCATGTACTTTGAAGAGAATAAAAATTATTTATAAGTTGATCGGGATGAGGTAGGTGCCTCCCAGCCTTGAGGAGGATTGAAACATATTTTCCTTAACATTCAAGTTTGTGCTTCTTTAGTGGGTTTGGACTTACATTGGTTTATATATATATATATATATTTTTCATCATTGTTGAGTGGTTTTCGACCCGACACAATCTTTACCTTGTCTTTAGTTCTGCTTCCCCTTTGTGTGGATTTTCCTCGAGCTCCCTATTATCTTAATAATCTAATATACTACTATTAAAAAGCATTCACAAAGTGGTGGTACAGTGGCATATCATGGGTTGTAAAAACCTCTATTAGACTCGACTGTTTGTGATTTGCTTAATGGTTCTACTCATGTTTATGGTTTTATTTCTTATAGCTGTCTTGAGAAGCAATTAGTTGATAATTCTGCTGACTTGCTTTTGGCTCAAATTTTATCATACTAGTTTCTGAATCTCTCTCTCTCTCTCTCTCAGAAAAACATGTGATATAATTTCTCACCTCTATATATTGCAACAACATTTATTGAAAGTTTTTTGTGAATTGTGATGCAGTTGATTGGGCTCACTGATGTAGACAAAGAAGCTCTGGTGTTACTTATTCAAGCTGCGGCAGTGATAGATGCAATTTTTTACCTGCAGGTTGTATGAGCAAACACAGGCTTCTGCATATCTGAATGTATAAACAAGACTACCCCATAGATGAGCACTAGTCAAGAGATTTTACCACCTATTTAGATATTCAGATCAGGTTTTCCTTTTGTGCTGTCAGTAAAACAAAAATGTTTGGAGCAGTTCCATGAAAACTGGATACTTTCACCCTGAGATAATGCAGATGATGTGGCTTTATTTGTCTTCTTTAGTTCAAAAGAGAAATGACCCTCATTCTTCCATTTACTATATTTGTATCCTTGCCACAGCAGAAAGTAAGTGTTATCGGTCTATATGTTAGGAATGGTTCCGAGTCAACGCAATCTAACCAGAAGGATTGGGTTGCTAAAAATGTAAAACATTTTGAAAATTTTGAAATTCAATTCTTAAAAGAGCAGCATCATTTAAGCTGCGCTAGTAACATTTTGAAAATTTTGAAATTCAATTCTTAAAAGAGCAGCATCATTTAAGCTGCACTAGCTTTGTGCACTCCATTTTTGTCTGGATAGAACATTTAGAAAAAACAAGAGGAAAGTGCATGTATAAAGGTCGTTCAAAGCATTATATACTCTAGAAACTTGAAATATTTTTGTAATGTGCAAGTTTTTGATTCGATACTTCCACATGTTTCATATCATCCCCTGTTGAACCTGAATATAGAAACAAGTACAGCAGCAGCAGCAGCAGCAACAACAAGAACAACCAAAGCCTTTCCCCAATTACTTGGGGTCAACTACATGAATCTTTCCATCCCACTCTATCGAAGGCCATGGCCAAAGTCAAACCACATGTTCTTAATGTAGAAACCAGTGCAGACAAAAAATGAAGTAGAGTTCACTTTCAAATTTCAATATGATCCAGGTAGTCAGAAAGGGGAAAAAAATGATTTAAACACAATATAGGGAGCAGTAAAACATTCATATATGCTGCCCTCCTACATGGTAGGAAACATATTGGAGATGGATCAGGTTGGTAAATCATGGATTACTTGTCGCAAAGGCGAAATCGCTAGGAGCTTAGAGTCTCAACATAAAGTGCTTCCAATTTCTGGAAAATAGGATTGAAAATTTTCTGTTAACCATCTTTTTATATTGATTTTTACATTAGACTTGATTTATTTTCAATTATTTGTGAAACCTCTCAAAGTAATTGTTTGCATCATGATGCATAACAAGGAGCTATCTTTTTTCTTTGGCCTCTATAATCAGGTTTGGTGCAGTAATTCAACTTTAAGGGATTGGTTGAAGAAGCATGCAGATATATCTCCTCTGGACAAGTTAAAGTGGATATATTATTTGATTAATGGAAGTCCATGGTAAGTTTACGCCCAGAAAATTGCTCTTTTAGGCTATCTATCTGTATCCATCTCTATCTCTATTTCCCTCTCTCTATATATAATATATGTCATTATCCAATGCTGGACCCGCTAATTGGCAAATGTAGGATTTGTTTTTTGAAAATTTTCCACCAGTCAAAGGAAATAAATAATTTTCTTCATAAACCTACCAGTGCACAATCTACAAATATGACTTGATTCCCAGTAACTTAGACACATATTGTTAAGGAATCTGAATTGAGATGCCAATAGAAATGAACAAATAGGTGAAAAGGAATAAATTCTGATATTCTCTTTTTATATATCATATGTTAGTTTACAGGCCTATATATATAGAAGTGTATTACAAATTCTATCTAAGGAAAAGATATATACAGATCATAATTTTTAAAAAGTAAACTATTTAACTATGGATAATTCCTAAAAATCCTCCGTAACTAATTTCCTAACAATTCAGCCTAGATCTTTCCGCACTCCCCCTCAACCTGGCTCGAAAAAATATCTTGCATTCCCAGCTTGCATGTAAGATTGTCAAATTTCCCCTTCGGTAATTCTTTAGTGAGGATATCTGCTACCTGTTCTCTTGTAGGAATATAGGGCATACATATCACTCCTCCTTTCAATATCTCCTTAATAAAATGTCGATCAACTTCCACATGCTTAGTCCTATCATGTTGGACAGGATTGTGAGCTATGTTGATTGCAGCTTTATTATCACCGTAAAGCTTCATAGGCATCGGACTTGAGATTTTAATATCTTCAAGTATCTTTTCAGCCACAAAAGTTCACAAATTCCTTGAGCAACTGCTCTGAACTCAGCTTTTGCACTACTCCTTGCTACAACGGTTGCTTCTTGCTCCTCCAAGTTACCAAGTTTCCACCAACATAAGTACAGTAACCTGAAGTAGACCTTCTATCCATCACACTACCTGCCCAATCAGCATCAGTATAGGCTTCAATCCTTAGATGGCCGTGGTTTTCAAATAGCAAACCTCTTCTAGATGATCCCTTTAGGTATTTGAGAATCCGGTAGACTGCCTCAAAAGTGTTCGTCTCCTGGTGAGTGCATAAATTGACTCACTACACTCACTGCAAAGGCTATTGGCCGAGTCTGTGAAAGATAAATGAGTCTTCCAACCAGCCTTTGGAATTGCTCTTGGTTCACCACTTCTTCTACACTTGCTGCCTGCAACTTTAAATTGGGCTCCATAGGTGTTTCCACCGGTTTGCAGCCAAGTAAACTTGTTTCCATAAGTAAATCCAACTCATACTTCCTTTGAGAGGCAAATATTCCTCTCTTGGATTTGACAAATTCCATTCCTAGGAAGTATTTCAAAGCTCCAAGATCTTTTATCTCAAATTCCTTTGCAAGAAAACACTTCAAATCCTCCAATTCTCTTTTATTACCTCTGGTCAAGATTATGTCATCCACATAAACAATAAGTATGGCTATCTTACCATCACTTGAATGTTTGTAGAACAGAGTGTGATTAGCCTGACTTTGACGATATCCATGATCCTTGATAGCTGTAGTGAATCGATCAAACCATGCTCTGGGTGATTGTTTCAAACCATATAGCGATTTCTTCAATTTACACACCTTTCCAGCTCCATAATCATTTTCAAATCCTGGTGGTAGATTCATAAACACTTCTTCCTCTAGTTCACCATTTAAGATGCATTCTTTACATCTAACTGCTGCAATGGCCACCTCAACCTTGTATCAAGAGACAACAGCACCCGTATGGAATTTACCTTTGCCACCGGGGCAAAGTTTCCTAGTAATCTATTCCACATGTTTGGGTGAAGCCTTTAGCTACAAGTCTCGCCTTGTATCTCTCAACATTACCATCAGCCTTATATTTGACCGTGAACACCCATTTGCAGCCTACGGTCTTCTTCTCCCTTGGCAACTCAACAATCTCCCGAGTTTTGTTCTTATCAAGAGCCCTCATCTCTTCCATAACTGCTGCTTTCCACTCAGTATGATTCAAGGACTCCTGTATAGTTCTAGGAATTGAAACACTAGAGAGATTAGTGGTAAAAGCTCTATAATTTGGAGACAATCTATGGTAGGACACATATTTTGCAATAGGATGCATGGTACAAGAGCGAGTGCCCTTTTTAAGTGCAATAGGAATATCAAGGTCATGAGAAAGGCTCTCTTCATTGCTGGTTTCAGGAATTAAAGATGGATTAGAGACAGAAATACCTGTTTCATTCAAGTTGCCTTTATCCGGAGAATTTTCTTGGCAGGTAGTAGGTTGGTGCTCTTTATTTTGATCCTTTCTTCTTTGAGAGTAAACACGAAGCTCAAATTGAGGTTGGATTTGAAGTGGTTCTCCCCTTGAAGTGTAGTCTATAATGTTTGACTCAATAGGCTTCGGAGAGGTTGAAATAGTGGGTTGAGTAGGTAAAGTAGAGTTTGGTGAAACACTTGGCAATGGTAAAGAGCCCAATACTTCCCAAAAATGGTCTTCCCTCTCATTACTCTCCCCCTGAAGAGTATTTTTGGTGAAATAGGGTTGAGTCTCAAAAAGGGTCACATCCATACTCACAAAGAATTTTTTAGAGGTGAGGTTATAACATTTATACCCTTTCTGTTTAGGAGAGTACTCAACAAACATGCACTTTTCAGCCCTAGGATCAAGTTTTGAACGGTCCCGTGTATGAACATGTACAAAAGCAGTGCATCCAAATACTTTAAGAGGTAATGAGGTGAAGATCCTAATATGGGGAAAAACTGAGAGCAAGCTATTTAGGGGCATCTCAAATTTCAACACCCTACTTGGCATTCTGTTGAACAAGAATGAAGCTGTAAAAACAGCCTCACCACATAGATATTTAGGAACCCCCATAGTGAACATTATTGCCTTAGCAACCTCAAGTAAATGGCGGTTTTTTTTCTCAGCTATCCTGTTTTGTGTGGGGTATCAAAGCAAGTGGACAGATGGAAAATACCCTTTTCTTTCAAAAAATCACCAAGAATAGAGTTAAAGAATTCATTTCCGTTGTCGGTTCTAAATACTTGAATCCAGGTTTGAAACTGGTTTTCAATCATGGCATAGAACTCTTTAAACACTCTCGCAACCTCAGATTTTTCTCTCAAAAGATATACCCAACACATTACTAATGGTCATCAATGAAAGCGATGAACCACCTAGTTCCAGTCACATTAGTAACCTGAGAAGGCTGAAGTCCCCCAAACATCACTATGAATCAGATAAAATGGTTTGGATGCTTGATATAAATGAGAAGGATAAGAAACACGATGATGCTTTGATAATTGACAAGATTCACATTGAAATAACAAGGGATTTAAATTTTTGAACAGGGATGGAAACAAATGTTTTAAGTAAGAGAAACTGGGATGGCCTGACCTATAGTGCCATAACATTGTTTGACTTTTAACAGAAATAGAAATATCACTACTACTTGCAGCTTGAGCTTGTCCACTCTTAAAGATTTCATTATCAAAGCAATAGAGTCCATTAACCATCCTAGCACTGCCAATCATCTTCCTTGAATATAGGTCCTGAAATTCACACTGAGAATCAAGAAATTTGACAACATAGTTAGAATCTTTGGTGAGCTTACTAACTGATAAAAGATTGCATGAAAGGTTAGGCACATGGAGGACAGATTTTAAAACAAGGTTTTCTGAGACAACTATAGAACCTTTTACTGCAACTGGAGACAAACTACCATCAGCAATACGAATTTTTAAGTGATAGAATTTGGAAAATTTGTACTAAACAAATATGATAAACTAATCATGTGATCAGATGCACCAGAATCAATGATCCAAGGTGCCGGATTTAAAGAACTAGTGAGGGCACTTAAAGAGCTACCTTTTTTATCAAGATAATTTGATGAGACACTTGAAACCTGAGTTTGGTTCTGCAGTTTGGAGAGATGATCAAGTTGCTCCTTACTGAATGGAGATGTCTCAGTTTCAATAGTAGCCTGCATTCCACGCCCATTCTTGTCTCCAAATCTGCCTACTTCCAATTTGCTAGTTTTCCATTTAGTTTCCAGCATGTTTCTTGCGTGTGCCTTGATTTGTTACAGAAATCACACCAGATCTTGGTTTTCTCTTTAATCTTCTGCTGTGGGTGATTTGTTGGTTTTGGATTAACTGCAGCTGCTGCCATTTCAGTGGATGTTACATTGAGTGCAGAGTTCTCACTATGAGTGCTAGAAGATTTCTTTCACATCATCACCAACCCGCGGCTTTCTTCCCTCCTAACTTCCGAGAAGACTTCTCTAGTGGTCGGCAGTGGGTCTTGCCTAGAATACATCCTCTCACTTCGTCTAACTCAGCATTGAGTCCAGCCAAAAATTCAAAACATGGTCCTTCTCAACTATTTTCTTGAACGCCCACCTACACACTTCCTTTCAAAATCATAAAAGAGGTCAAGTTCTTGCCACAAACCTTGTAATATGTTGTAATACTTTGTAACAAGTCTGATGTCCTTGTCTTGTTTCTCAAATCCTTGTTTTAATTTCATAAACTTGTGCGGAATTGTCTAAGTCTGAGTATGTCTCTCTCATTGCGTCCCAATATTCTTTGGTAGTGGAGAGATACATAAAAATGCCTGGCCTGTCTCCGATTCCATGGAGTTCACTAGCCATGACATAATTATGGAATTTTTTGCATCCCAAACGACATATGCTGGATCATGTTCCTTTGGGGCCTGCTTTGCATTAGTTAAATAATCAATCTTCCCCCGCTCTCGGATGAACAACTTTACGGATTGAGATCATCATAGAAAATTCTGTCCATTCAGCCGATGAGTGGTAATTTGGAGGATTGGGTTGTCACCTGAACCGGATGAAGTGATCTGGGATTTCTAAGTATTTAAAGAATTGACGGAACTTCCTCAGTGGAGATTCCAGACATTGCGGATTTAACCAAAGAAATCATCCAGAAACGACGAAGAGAAATAGAAGAATAAGTCTTCTATAATTCTGGTATA